TGTGTGTGTGTGTGTGTGTGTGTGTGTGTGTGTGTGTGTGTGTGTGTGTGTGTATCCAAAATGTCATAATATAATAATTTTTAAATTATAAATGTTTTTAAAGTTAACAAACTGTATCGCCTAAAGTTCATGCTAGGTTTACAGTTCAGGTATGATGTAATGCAAAATGTCAACCAAATTTAAATGCACAAACTTTAAGCGATATGATTTGGTAACTTTAAATACTTTATAATTTGAAAACTACCGTAATCTCGATATTTTGGTATTAGGATTATCGTCTGAAAGGTGATCTCAAGAATTTACTTTTAAGCAGTTACAATCATTACAAAATTCTGTATAATCTATATTTAATCTCTATCTTATTAGTAGAGCTATGATTTTAAACGCGGAGATAATTTCTCTCTCTATAATTAAAATAAAATCGCAAACTTTTTGAAAAGATTCAAAAATATCACATACATCTATATACAGCTATCGCATCGGAGATGCAGTGACAGAGAAGCCTATAAAAGTATCATCTTCCCACAATGATCACATAATTTACAAAAAGATAATTAACGGAGTGCATATTCATCGAAAAGCTATAGAGTCGGTATTTTTTTACAGATTTTAGTACAATAATTTTAAAAAAGCATGATTATATTTTTTTAACATTTTACAATTAATTAATATATGTATTTTTAATATTAAATAGTCATTTGAATTAGGTATTTTTTTTTATTTTATATTACGTTTACTATTTTAATAAATACAAAAAGATGTTATCCTTAAAGCTTTATTCTTAGCTTAATTATTTGTAATTTATATAATAAAATGTACTATCAATTTTTTAATTGGATATTACAAATTACTACTTGAATATCATTAAGTAAAGATTAAAAACTGAATTTTAAAAAAAGATTCGAAACAAATATTTTTGAATTGGTTCTAAGCTTTTTTGATTCAAATTGATGAAATAATTTAATGATTTTATTTTATTATTTTTATGCACTTTCAACTTCCTGCAACTTACCTTTATACTTGTCTCATTGTGTCAGTTATAATCATTTGTATTATATTTAACGATTATATTTCACGAATACTATCAATAAATTAAATATTATACTATCTCACGTTGTAAACCCCTTTAGATTTACTGATTCGATTATATCTGATTTGAAAGTACCTTTTTTCATAGTACTCAGTGTGGGAGTACTTTCAGTAACTCTTAATATATTTCAAGTGAGTGTCGTTTTCTCAAATTAAAATGTGCTAGTCAATTAATTTCTATAATTAGCAAAAAATATTTTTGACTCTTTTTAAATCTACATGTTACACGTAATTCTAGCTAGGTTTTCATCGCATTATCTATGCATAATATGAGTGAAATGTTTATATCCTTTACGTTTGTTGTTGCACAATTCAGTTACATGTATTTTGGAAATTATGGTGGACAAATAATTTCGGATCACTACATTGAAGTATTTAACGTGACGTAAGTAGCAAAAACGTTTATTATATGTATAATGTATTTGAAAAATGTATACTCAAAAATATATTTAAAAACTAAGATTTGTGTTAAAGTAAGATACTGCCACAAATATTTAAAATATTTTGTAATTAAAATATTTGCTTTCTCTGTTTTATGTAGATATGATTCTTACTGGTATACTGCACCATTACGTGCACAAAAATTGTTATTGTTCATAATGCAGAGAACTTCGAAAAACTTTTCTTTCGTTTTTGGTATATTTGTAGTCTCAATGAGAGGTTTTTCTAAGGTAATCAATACAATTAAGTTTGTAGTAGCTATACCATAAACTTCGTTTATATCAAGACATAAATTTACAGCTTACGAGCATGTCAATATCTTACTTTACGGTGATTTGTTCTATAATTTCGAAATAATTATAAGAGAAAAAATCTTTATATTCGTAGAATCTTCTATAAATTATTTTAATATTATTAAATGGACATATTTATTCATTCAGGTAATTCGATGTTGTTAATTATCTTGCACATCAGAATACTTCTTCTTTCAACTCATTTTACATGTTATTTAATGTTGCATTATATATTAAATGTCTTATGACTTATGTAGTCGCATAATTACAGGTTTCAAAACGTAAAAAATTTTTATATACGCATATAGAATAGACTTTAGTGCATGTTTTTTTATATAATCCATACACACAATACGTAATTTTATGTACACATATAATGTTATGTCTGTGCATTCTGTGAAAATCGGATTATCATACAAATAGCGCACTCGATAAGTTTTCACGCACTTTATAGCATTCACGAAAATAGAAACGTGGTAGGCTTTCTTTAGATAGAACTTTGATAGGAACAGAATAAATTTTGTGTCGAGAATTGTGCACAGAAATCAGAATCAAACAACCATCGTCGGAGGGGGGGGAGGGGGGCAAATTTGATATGTTGATTTCTTGGCAATCGATTATGGTCGGCGGGGCTAAAGCCCAATAATTCTTAATTATAATAGGACGCACAGACGTAACACTATATATGTACATACATAAGATACATAAAAATATAGTTATTACGGTTCCTTAACCTTGTTACTCTAATTTATAAAAATATATATTTTTTAATATATCATAAACCATGTATTAAATATTACATGAGCTTTTATATCATTTACTCAGATCGCGATTTTAAAATCAACGATATTATTACAAATATTTATGTATTTGACAAATAGACTAATATTAAGATATAAATATTACATGAACAAGTTTTATAAATTAGCATTAAAAGAATAACAAAAATGCAATATCTAATAAGATGATATACGTACATGTATTATTAAACATACACCATAGAAAGATAATCAGCGCAGTTTGTACCTTTTCTTTCTTTATCCATGAACAAGGAATCACGCGTGACGTCATAATTTGCATTTTTACGCGTTTGCAAAATGTTTGTCATATTATTGCATTATTAAACCTGATTTATTTTTATTCGAATTAATAGACACAGAATATGAAAGATATTATTATTACACATGTACGTATAGATATTGTAGACATTGTTATAATACGCGATACTATGATAAAGTCGACTTACTATCATAATAAAATGGTCTATAAGCTATTCGTAAAACTTCTTTGCACTAGTATTGTGATACCTAAAAAGATATTTACTTCCTATAGGGAAAGATATAGAAGTATACGATGGATTGCTAATTTTGATAATATTATATTGATTATTTCTTATTTTTTTTTCTTCATTCTATAGTCGAGCTATAGAAAGAAACTCAAGGAAAATTAATTTTCCTTATTTACACTCATTCTCTCTCCCCTGCTGATACTTTATAAATTTCTTACATCTGCTGTTTATCTCACGGTAAACTTATCGTCATTTATTTCTCAAGTATATCAAATTATACTTGAGAAAGAAAAATTCACGGTCTATATATTCACGTATTTAACTTCTAAATTTAATACATGGAGGGAGAAATGCAGTTTTGCAACGTTGTTCCTGACATAAACATTTTAGCTTTCACCAAAGATGGACTTTGTTGGAGAACGATACTATAAGCTAAATAAGATTTTTCTGTTGTGTTTCGGTCTGTGGCCTTATCAAACTTATTCAACTTTAAAGAAAATTCAAATAATCTTTTTTGAAACGTTATTTATATCCTTTTTGATATGTCAGGTATTAATTTTTCATTTCACGCACATGTTATCTAAACACAAGACTTACTTATAAGTAATTGGACAAACTTTTATACAAACCTATGTTTACTCTTTGCAATAATCGTTTAATAGGATTATTATTTTCAGTGCAATACGTTTTTTATAAAAAAATACAACCTCGATCGTATCTTAAAAATTTTGTTGTTTATTGTTCTGACTTGTATTTATATTATAAAGTATAACGCATGTCTCTTATTTACCGATAATGTAAGTATTCACATATTTATATGCATTTAAAATTCATCGTTTTTGTAAAATTATTATAGATTTAAAAAAATTTGTTTAAATTGTTCATTATACTTATATATGTAGTACCATGACATACTTATAAAGTAGATGTATTAAAAATTCTAACATAACGATTATATAAAAATAAAAAGAAGTAATTAATGAGACACGTAATACCAAAAAAAATTTATAAAATGAAATATTTTATTTATGATTACAGATTAAATGTATCTTTGATAGAATTCGATATGATTGGAATATGTTAAAAGCTCAAACGGAATTGGAAATAATACAAAAATACGCAAGCGATGCAAAATTATATACGATCTGTTTTACATGTAAGATATAAAATCAAGTATCAATTGCATAATTCTTTTTTGTAAGCATATACTTTTACATTAATTTTTATTTATACAATATATAATAATTAATTATATAATAGTAATTTGTTTTACGCGTACATTACATGATTATATTTATATTTTCATTAAAATATTATTAAATGTTTTTATAAGAATTAAAAAAAATTTTATAATTAGATTAATATGTCGTATAATTTTTTCTTCGTACTAGTATTTTTATTTACAATATACGAAAATACACATTGGTCTTTATACTACGTCAAATATGTGGCATAATTCGTTTGCTTCAGTTTTGATTATTAGCAGTTCATTGGGATTCATAGTAATAATTTGTTTACCTCATATACTCGATGTGATCGTACCAATGAATGAATCGCGGTCGCGACAAACATTAATCTTAGTGGAATATTTCATTGATGAAGAAACATATCTTATCGCTATTTTGACACATATTGTCGTAGCTCAGTATGCTGGTTTTATGACAGTAGTGACTGTCGCAACAATACTCATAGCATATGCACTACACGCATGCGCTATGTTTAGAATTGCCAGGTAATAGGTTAAAAACAGGAGTCATCTTTAATTATTATATTGCTGATTTTATTCATTTACTTATAATAAATACTACAGTATCGTAATAAGTTTTATAATTCCATTATATTTTTATAGTTACCGAATAGAAAATATATTTGATGAAAATATACAACAAATGTCAAAGGATATTAAACAATATATACTTTACAACAAATTAATTCAGGCTATATATGCTCATCGCAGAGCTATAGAGTTAGTATTAATATATATTGTTCCTTTGCACTCGAAGTCTATTTTGCCTGGACAATTCAGCAAACAAAAATTATTGTCACTATATACTCGTATTATGAACATTATTTTGTGTTTTTATGTAAAAGATAACTTAACTGAGAAAAAAAGAGTATGATAATAGCTATCAAATGTTTAGTAAAATAATGCTAATTAAATTTGGTTAATATAATTAAATATAATTTTATTTATTTATTAATTTTAATACTTATTGTAAAAGTAAAATTATGTTTAGTTATATAGTAAAATATTTAATTAGCATTATTTTATTAAACATTTGATAGACTATTAAACATTTATTAAACATTTGATAAACTATTATTAAACTTTTTTTAAGTGTTATTTTATAAACAAATCCAAATCTAATAAAAATTACTATTTATCTTCCGACTTTAGATGTGTCTAAAAATCCTTGCAAAAAAGGCTGAGTACAAAGGCTTAAATATTATATTACAATAAATTGATAAAAATATCCATTTTGTTGTTGAAGTTTGACCAATATTTTGACGAACAGTTTTGCAACATTATATTTCGTGTTATTAGGATTTGCTTTGGCTTCGATGAGTCTCAATTTCATTAATGTAAGCGTAAATGCAATTATTGTGATAAAAAGAACATACACAATATCGTTTATTCGAAAAAGGTTAATTATTATTATGATATACAAAAACTATAAAATTGATATATTAGATATATTAGATAGGTTAATTAATAAATAATGTTCTATTCAAGTTTTATAATGCAATAATAGCCCTGGAGGAAGTGGATATATTGGTATTCGGCGTTCTTATATTTGCAGAATTATATTATATATTTCTAGGAAATTATGTTGGACAAAATGTCATAGATAGCAGCATTGGCATTTGTCAAGCAACGTAAGTATTAAAAACATTTTTTTAATTTTATAATATATATATATATTTTTTTGCAACATTTCGTGTTATTAGGATTTATACATTTATAATACAAATTTTGATTGCTCTAATGCTCGCTGTGTAAAATTTGTGAATATTAGGAATACCTACATCATTTTTCGTTTCCTGAATATATCTAATAAAAGCTTAAAGTTTTATTTTCTATAAAATAATTTAAAAAAATGTTTCCCCTTAAGATTTTTTGTAACTAACAAGAGGAGGTCACGGGACTTGAGGTTACCGAATTATAAAACGTTTTTATATGGTATTCTACAAGGAGATTAAAAAAATAGGACCCAACACTAACAATAAGTCATTTTTCTGAAAAAAATTAATTTAAATTAAAAAAATATAGCGTTTGTTATATTTCGACTCTTTTATACCGATCAATGAGAAGGCGACGTTTCTTAGATGTTAAGTTCGTGACCATTATGGTGGGATTCAATCTCTGTTCGTCGAATTTTCTTTTTTCATTTTTTTGCAATCTAGCAATGAATGTTTATTCATGTAAAATAAAATTAAAATACCAATAATTTTGTTTTTTTCTTTTAAATTTACACATTTAAATATTTTTTCTAATGTACTCGCCAAACTGGGTATATCAAATTGGGATAAAATAAAGGAAATAAAACGTCACTATTTGAAAGGAACTATAATACAAAATTGTAAACAAATGCAAAAAAATGTACCAAACCCAATTTTTACGACCTACAAGCGTAAGTTCTCTGACCGATATATCGTTATTTACAACTTATGACTTACGGCTTACGGTCTCTTAAAGCAAGTTGTAGGCCTAGACTTATCAAGTCGCTACATTTTTATAAATAGCATGTAACGTAATAAATATAATTTTGAATCTAGAATTGAGATCAACAACATTATGATAAATGTAATGTTAAGTTTTAAATTCAAATGTTGATTATTAGTTATTGTACAAAATGCGAGTGGGATGCCATAATAACACCTTCTCGTCTACTAATTGCTGTATATGTATGTGTATGTATTAACAGATATAATGCACAGTGGTATGCTGCGCCATTATGTATGCAAAAACTGATACTATTCATAATGCAAAGAAGTCAAAGGAAGAGTGCTTTAACAGCTGGAGGTTTATTTGATGCATCGTTAGAAGGTTTCGCTATGGTATTATAAGAAATTATATTATAAGGAATTGCGTATAAGAAATTATGAGCAATTTTCTTTGATTGATCTCATAAAAGAAAATGATTTTTAATATTTATTATATTTAGCTCATGAGTATGTCTACATCCTACGTTATGGTCCTTCAATCTATGGGAGTACACAAAGAAAGTCACGAAAAACATAATAATCACGTTTAAAAAATTCAAATCGCAAGTTTTTAAAATACAATCAGTACTGTTTCTCTGGATATTTAGTAAATTTTGAAATAACAATAAAATACATTATTTACTTTTTGCAATTATTATTGTACTATTTATGTCATAAATTAAGTATAATTATGTATTTTAGGGGTTAAAACATATTTTATTTTTTACCTATTCTTTTTATCATTAATATTATACTATTGCGTGTGTGTACCAATTTCTGATTTATATAAATTGATAAATAAATATATACTATAATTAACAATGAGTAAGAGATACTTTCTGTGACATGTGATTCATTAAATATATCAACTACATACATGTATATATATGTAATTTTTATATTGTGTATGCTGAGGATGACTCCAAAGAAGAGTCGAAACGTTCATAAATTTTAATTTACCAATAAACGGATTATAACTCAACATTAACCGAGTTGACTCTCATTTGTCTGTTCTTAGGAACACTTTACATTCGTTTTTATATATATATATGTATGTTATAAACAACTTTATAACGTAATGTTTTTTTGGCATGAATGTGTAACTGAATATGATTTACCTTCTAATTTCTTTAATATAACATGCTGAAGTACTAAATACGTAACACATAGAACTTAATATCGTCTTCACGATTCAATAGTTTGTGTGAAAATGAATACTCGCGCGCTAACGTGAATCTCAAAATAGTGACAATTGCGCGTGCGCAAGATATGTATGAATAAATGATGAAAGCGGCAAACATTTGTTTTCCACCACGCATTTTATGTAATTCACCTTTATCGTCATATTTTTTTTCTATTACGATCTCTTAAGTAAAATTATAAAATTCGCGATATTTGAGAAAATGCGATGATTGTGATAATCAATAACAAATACTGTTGGAAAAAAGAGCTTCTTGATATAACTCGTGACAAATGTAGTGAAGCCTTTGAAGAGAAATGAAGTTTAACGGTCAGCGTTACTACAGATTTAATCGTTTCTTTCTAGAAATGACAGGACTATGGCTTTACAATAATTCCAAGTTTACATATATTTATAGAGCTTTCACGATTTTTGTCTTTGTATCTTGTAGTATTACTCAGGTAATTTTTTTTCACATATTTATCTAATATGAAATTAGTGCTTTTTTATACGTATAAGTATATACTGATATTCCTTATATTTACGTTAAATTATAATTTTATTTAGTTTAATTTTTTAAAACTCACATATATATTATTATATTCTTCATTTATTTTTACATTTTTCTATAAATCATTTTTATAAAAATATCAAAAAATTCTAATTAACTTTAATTTGTAAAACTAACAGAGTTATAAATAACTGCAACAATGATTTGATATGTATAATATTTCTTTTAATTGGAAAAACATTATTGTACAATAAAACTTTTCTGCAGCTCATCAAATTGCAAAGCATAGTTCACGATTTGGATCGTTTTCTGTATTGTCTAACATACACTGTCCCTAATTTCATCTATATTACGAATTATCTTAGTTTCATTGTTAAGACTGATAGAGTACGTATATGTGTACGAACAATTTAATTCAAATTACTTATTCCACTTAATTATAAAAAACGTATCATTGAGATTTAAGAATAATATTGTTTACGTTTAATTATCACTAACATTATTAGATAAAAGATATAATGGATAGAGTTCTGCATGATTGGAATACATTAGAAGATGAAAGAGAATGCGAGATTATACGCTATCATGTCATAATCGGAATGCGATACTCAATAGTTTTCTTCGGTAGGATGTTAGAAATTTCACCATTTATATGAAATTACAAATATATTCATATATTAGTAATTTCATATAAATGGTAAAATTCCTTTTGGAAATAACGAAGACTGTTCTATAATCCATTTCTCATATATGTATAATAGTATAATGCTGTTTTAGCTATACTCATACTACTTTTGTTTAGCTATATTTTGAGTTTGTATTTGCCGAGCTTTCTTGATTTTGTCCATCCCTTAAATGAATCTCGTTCGAGGAAATTACCTCTCTTAGCGGAATATTGTATTCTCGATGAGCAGAAATATTTTTATTCTATTCTGATGCATCAGTCATTGTCAATCGCGTTAGGCCTAATCACAGTAATTGTAACCTCTTTATTAAATCTATTATATCTTCAACATGCTTGTGGACTATTTGAAGTAATTAGGTAAGATACTACGAATTTTGGAAAATAATAACGTATCTTGAGTAACTTTTTATACATTATATATAAACATATAACGTATTAATAAATTCTTTTTTTTACTATAATTCATTACATAATTCTAATGAATTTAGCAATAATTATTATTAGGAATGCACTGGATCATAAAACTACCGGATACCGGATATTTGACAAAAATGTGATACTGGATCAATCTAGATGTCCGATATCCAATGGAATATTTGGTAGAGCAATTATCCGATCGTATCGCAGATATATTTCCAGATGTCTAGTACAAATTTCCAAAATTCTAAAAAAAAAGCAACGAAAAAATAACAATTTTCTTTATTTTTTCAATATGAAAAAAAATATAGAAAAAATAAAGTATACAAGAAATTCAGCTAAAAACAATAAAATTCTGCATGAATAACATAAACTTCTAATATAAAATTTCAGACGGATATATATTGTCGAATACTAATAATATCTGATTATCCAACCGAATAGTAAAAATATCGAATACCGGATATCTAGTGCATCTCTAATCATTATTTTTACAAAGCACAGCATAGCCATAGCGAAAGCAAAGTAAATTATGACATAAATTATAAAAAAAAGAGAGATATATATAACTTAAATACACAATAATTGTATTCAATAGATTGATTTTGATATATTATATCTTATTTAGTCAAAAATAATATGAATCTATATTTATAGATATCGTTTGAAACATGTTTTTGATGACGGAATGTTTTCAGTAAATACAAATGAAAAATATGCCATAATTTATGCTAGAATAGTAAAAATCATAACTATTCATAGAAGAACAGTTGAGTGAGTATATTAATCATGAAAAAAGATGTAAGATATTTTTATTTTTTTACTGAAAGAAATTAAAGCGTTAATTCAATTATTATTCATATTTAATTCATGTAATTTTTTACTATGTAGATTTTTAGATTACCTGATGTCCACATACGAAATACCCTATTTTATTATGCTTGTGTTTGGAATTATTGCGATGATTATTAACCTGTTTCGTGTGAGTTACTTTTATAAATAAATATTCTTAATCTTTTGTTCTATATGTGCCATTCTTTTTGTCTAACAATAAAATATTTTTTAATTGTAAAAAATTGAATTTGATTAATCTAAAAAATTAAATACCTCCTTTTTAGTTAATTGAGGCTGTTTTAGCAATGAATGATTTTGAGGAATTGTTAGGATCTGGATCTATTAGTGGAGGCCTATATGCTTTCCTGTTTTTCGTTCATTATTTTGGACAAAAACTAACAGATCGTAGTATTCTTATGTTTGATAAAGTGTAAGTTTTTCTTAGAAGTAATTCATAATACGTCATTTGCATATAAAAATACAAATAATATGTTACACATTTAATAAGAATCTTAAGGAGATCCTAAAGACGATTAGTCTTACTGGAAATAGCATTTACACACAAATAATAACGTCATTGACACAAATAATCATGTCACTGACACATTACATCGATATCTTGCTCATGCATGCCATGCTCATCATGCCACACACATAAATTTTCGTATAACAATTACATTTTAATTAGATCTAAGTCTAATTTTAAGAACTTCACGCTGTTTTTCCATACAAACTACTAGTCTGTGGATTATTGCTTCGTAAGTATACAATTGCATAGCTTTTGTATGAAGAAAATGTTGTTACAATGTACAGCGACGTGACAGTTCTAGAGCGTTGTATTGGACTAATAATATTAGAAAAAGATTTAATTTTGAAATTTTTTGTTGTTTTTGACATATAAGACTCTACCTCACAGTTAAGGAGAAAAAAGTAATTGTTATACAACAATTATATGGTTCAGTCAGCAATACAGACGATTTTAGGATTCCCTTAATGAAACAAAGAAACGGATCATATTTTTTTTGCAATTACGTAGGTACGATATATCATGGTATACAGCACCTGTGCATATTCAAAAACTTTTCATCTTTATACTACAAAGAACGGTAAAGGGTTACGTGCTCAATATCGGTGGTGTAATTATGGTGTCGTTGGAAAGTTTTGCATCGGTAACGATATATTTTTCTGTTATAAATTTGAATAATTAATTAGAAGACTATGAATATAATATGATTAAAGCGAATAATATTATATAATCATACCAAACCAAATGAAATAATTAAATGTAAGTATATAGTAGATTTTAATATTATGTTACATTTATTTCTTTTAGATGGCGAGTATGACGCTGTCTTATCTTACCATGTTATATTCTGTGCGTTAAATTTAAAATAGACAACAAATCCACTTCTAATCAATATAATAAAACTGTATCGTATATGAATATGAGAAGTGCATCAGCAATTATGTCCGAGACAATTCACAAATATAGATTAAAATATATTTGTCACAAATGTATCCCATAAACAATATATCAAAATAATTATTACAATATTTTAAACTTTTAAAGTATTTTTTCATGCTAATGCTCGATGCTCATTTACAGCTTTAAAATAGATTAATTATAATCAAATAATTAGTTGTGATCAAAATTAGCTAAACAGTAAAAATGTATGAAAAGTTTACAAGTGATTGGTCATGTCATAATTACGTATATATTTTGCATACATGGAATTAAACTTATTTTAAACTAACTGATGCATTAAAAATTTGTTAGATTGCTTGTGTCAATTTAACTAAATAGTACATTGTATAACATGTATGGTAAGTTGTTTATTGTGCGACGCGGGCGCGAGAGCACGAGCGAAGCGAGTGCGCTCCCCCGCGCCCGTGCCGCACAATAAACAACTGAGCATATGAGTTACACACAGAATTTTTCATTACAAGTGCTCGTCGTAATGTGCCCAATACAGCAACGTTTTTGCGCAGAAGAGTGGGGTTAAGCGGGGAGCACAGACTTTTGCATAACGCATAAAGCATGTGCATAAGGAATTTCATTGGCCCATTTTCTTATGCATGAGTCAATGGACCAATCAAATTCTTTATGTATATGGTTTATGCGTTATGCAAAAGTCTGTGCTCCCCGCTTTAGAGTAATAACTCAAGCCGTTGAGTTATTGGCTATTTACCGCACGCAAAAGCGTTGAGTTATTGGGCACATTACGTGCACGCGTGATGAAAAAGTGATATTACTACGGTAGTTGATTAGAGTTGCGTTGTAAATCCGGAAAAATTTCAGCACGCGATTGAGGACTACATACGTGGTAAATAAAATTCACACATTACATTTAGCAACCAAAATCCTGTTTGACCGTCATCGGCCAATTTCATTATCATATTTACTAGTATTAAAGATAAATACTTATTAACATTGAACATATTTCATTTCAGATATATAATTCTAAAAAAAGAAACAAAGAAATTTTATTTATAGAAAATTTTAGATAAAAATTGTGCAGAGAGAGAGAGAGAGAGAGAAAATTTTTATTTAAATGCATATTATCTGTACTTTTACCTTTTGTTACTTGTCTGGTGTGTCAAAGAGCACTTAAATCCCCAAATATTTTTTAAGTATTTTTTTAAGTACTTTGTTTGCGCTATATTGAAAATTTCAGAAATTAAAAAAACACATTACGTCTCAATTCATTGATAAACACACAACACTTTATGAACAGAGAAAAAATTCACCACAAATAACGTTTAACATCGTTAACGCTACGAAAATGAAGTTTTGCGAAGAAATATACGACCGAAGCTCTTCGCATAATGATTCACGCTGTATTGAAGAAAACATCAACAATAGAGAATTATTGTTTGTTACTGCGCCTACGTTGCGTCGCGATGGCGACGTCGCGGCGTCGCACTATACTGCTTACCTATTGGAACAGCTAACTGAGGGTGGGTTCAGACCTAGACAGAAAATCGGAAAGCAGAAAAACAGCAGCCAATCAAAACTCACGCTTGTAGTCGACGATTTCAACTTTCTGTACTACTTATCCTGCTAGCTTACTACCGCGCAATTCTTTATTAACTGCTGCTTTTTCACTTTCTACTTTTCTATCAAGATTTATCCTTACACACGGCACATGCAATATTTTTATTAACTTTTTACGTGCATATTTTGTCATCGCATGTGATGTTGAGAAAATTTGACATGGCGTTTACTGATCAATAAAATGCATCACGAAATATTTTTGTGAGATGTCAGAACATATGTTTAACAACAATTGAGAAGAAAAAGAAAAATCAACATTCATTGAATATAAATTTTACATATGTTTATATTGAAAAATATAATTATTCACGTGTATCGATATGTTAGAGAAAGACATTCATCAATAATATAATCTGAACTTATTTTGCAAGTTTACATTATTAATATAGAATTAAAGAAGCTAAAATACTCATAATACGAAACAACATTTTAACTTCTTTAATATCGAATAAATACTAAATATATCAATGTATTGAAGTATCTATGATCGTATTCATGTTCGATTATTATTTTAAGACAGTCTTAAATAATGTTTCAAAACGTTAATATCGCTCTTAATTATGATATCTTAGAACTGTACTTAAGACGGTCTTAAATATGAGAACTGACTATAAATGTCGGCTTATATCTTAATTGCACTTTTACAGTACACTATAAAATAAATATACTCAAAATCTGTAAAAATTTGTCATAGTCTCTGTTTAGTCTTTGTGTCCTAAAAAATAGCACTTACGTCGTATTTCAAGAGAGATATATGGATATGAATAATTATATTTTTGAGATACTTATTTAAATGTATATGCATGTATCAAAAAGTAAGCTGATATACGAAAGCTGTATGCCTTAACATTAAACACAATCGTTGACGACTTGACGAACAATGAAACGGAATTGCGATTTGACATAAGAAAATTATTCTTCTGGAAGAAAGGCACATATGTTGTAATTGCGTAGATTACTAATTTTCTCTACATGTCATTTTTTTATGCATCTGTATGAATAGATGTGAAATATGCAAAAAATGTTTAGTCATATTTCTGAAACAGAAATAATTTTGCAAATTACTAAATTATATTAGACTTATGCGTAAATTGTAGTACTTATTCTTTGTATAGCGAAAAATATGAATGGTTCAATAAATACAGAAGCTGACAGAAGAGAGAGAACGTAAAGGTAATTCTTCATTTCTCAGCACAGAAGTATTTTGATACTTGTAGGAAGATGAATTTTGTTGGAGATGGACATTATAAACTCAATCGACGTCTCTTGCTATTAGTTGGTTTATGGCCATATGAAAATTCTGTTTACAAGTATTGTCAAATGATACTTTGTAACATTCTTATAATATTCATGATGTTTTGTCAGGTAAAAGAACATTATGCAAATTTCCATATAAAAAAAAATCTGCTACTATCACATAGTAAATATTATCTGTTTCATTTAATCATAGAGTATATGTTACAATTTATATACAATTGTATATAATTATTATACCGTTAATACGATCTACAAATATAATTATTTACATGTATCGATAAAGATTAACTGTTTAAAAAATTAATTTCTGATTAATACCAACTTATCGAAATTTATGGTTTTAGATTACGAAATTGCTATCATCGAAACGAAATATTGATGTTATGTTGAAACTTCTTTCTTTTATTGTGTTTTGCATAATTTATATTATAAAATATCAAACGTTTTATATTGTTGCTAAAAAAGTGAGTTGATAGTGTATTACCGTCTGCATTACCTTACTCTATTTCAATATATTATATTTTGAAAAATCATTGAAAATGAACAAGCATTTTCTTGATTGTCATAAAAGATATAAAATAATTTATTAAACATTGGTTTAATAAATTATTTTCAGTCTGCTTTATAATATATATTTTTCTCAAAGCCGAATTAACACTAGACATTAATCTAAGCTTGGGACAATGCTCTAACCGGCATTTTTCTTTAAAAAAGGTTTCTTTAAAAATAGCCATTTTTCCGCAAGCGAAAATAAATGTTATTTCCTTTTTATTTCCTTATATTTATGTATGTTTAAATAATGAATTATTATACTTTTAGGTATATACGTATTATATTTTGGCTATTTTTAAACTCTCTCCTTTACCTATGCATTTAAGTTTATTCTTATAATATTTTGTGAACAGATAAGATATCTCATGTATCATGTAGAAGAAGATTGGAATATGCTTAAAGATAAAATAGAATTAGGGATCATAGAGAGATACACTTGCATTGGAAGTATGTGTACTTTGAGTTTGACAAGTAAGAGATACACATATATAACTTAACGGCTTTATAAATAATAGTGTAATTATATTAAAAGTTGATATTGTATATTAAAAGTCATTTTTTATTCAGTATTAGGTTTTGTGGCTACATTAAGTGGTTTTATCTTATCATTGACACCAAGCATCCTTGATATCGTTATACCATTAAATGTTTCCCGTCCACGACAACTTCCATTTCCAGGAGAATACTTTATCGATCAACAAAAGTTTTTTTATGTGATTTTATTGCAAATATACATTACTACAGGTTTAATAGTTACCACTTTAATAGCCACAGAAACGTTATATGTAACGTATATACAACATGTTTGTGGAATGTTTCAAATTGCTAGGTAATAAAATAAAGAAAAACTGAGTAAACACGTCACAATCATATAGATTGCTTAATTTAATTTGTATTATAATTTAATACTTCATTTTATTATAATTTGAATCTTTAATTATATTGGTTATATTATATGCTATAATTTTATTATATACCTACACGATCGCTATTTGTATAGTTATCGAATGGACCAAGCATTTAATGACAAGCTTTTGCAAGGATACACATCTGAAAAGCAAGCAATTATTATTTGCAAACGGATAATTGAGGCTGTACACATTCACAAAAGAGCTCTCAAGTCGGTACATTTTATTTATAATAAACGAAACAATATTTGATTGAACGATTAATACATATTTAAAGTATTGAATCCTTATTAGACGACATATAATACACACATATAATATTATATCATTAGATATTGAAAATTTTTCAAAAATTTATGCAGAATAAAAAGGGTGGGATACGAAAATTATAAACATTTATCTAGCTGATGGCCATCTCTATAAACAAAAATTTAATTAATAGATTATATAATAATTCGCTATTTATACATTTTAAAGGTAATTATGCAGTATAGAGGAGGCCACCTGGTCATCCTGAGAGACTTTGATATATGATTTATTTATAATGCGGGTAAATAGCGTATTAATATATGTATAATTTATGTATTAAATTTTGGTTAAGTAAGAAGGTCAGCTAGATAGACGTAAATTTCAACGATGCAATAATAGTTAACTTTTGTTCAAGATTTTCCGAATTCCTATGGTCCACTCTAGGGATATCATATAGCATTCTTCTTATAATCGGTATCATATCTCTAATTATTAATCTTTACTGCGTAAGTTATACTTCTTTAATTAGCTGAAAGTGGTCGAATTGTGCACATCTTGGTTTGGTACTTTCCCAATAGGTGCAGAAGACATCACTGTGGCGAAATTTTACGCAGGAGATCGTTCTCACAAGTTATAACCACAGGAGATACGATGTAAATACGATCATAACAAGAAAAAAAATGAAAAAATTTATTTTTTTGATAATTTCAGCATTCAGAAAATAAGGTGGTAAGTCCGTATTTTTAATTTGTTTGCTTAAAATTGCATTCGTTATTAAAGTGCGTTATTATGTGCATTTTTCGAGCTGTTATTAAGTTTGGTTTGGAAATATTGAAGTAATATTATTTCAAATGAAGTCAGATTGCAGCGGGCAACTGTTGCGCAGATGTTTTTAAATGCGCACCCACCCTCCATAGACTATGTAGTTGTTTTCCATTACACTGAAACTGAGTTTGAAGTGAGCTGAGTATTTTATATTCAAATTATGACGTCACTACTTGCTTAATTTTGTAAAAAAATATATAATATAATATATATTTTTAATATTACAATATTATAAATATATTTCCTGATTTCTTTTGTCAACATTCTATAGTTTATTCATTTCCTACAACTTTTGCTTTGCGCACAATTACCCAAAGCGCGAAAAACTTTTTCGTTTCTCCATTTTTTCCTTTTTGCTAAATACAACCCTATTAAATGAAAATCTGTTTAATATAAGGATACGTAATAATAGAAGAATATTAATAATTTCTATTTCCATATCGCTTTGAACTTAGAAAAAACTATCTCAGGAAAACAAATATTCCTTAGGTGCACACAATTCGACCATTTTCCCCTATATTTTCATATATCTTTTAAAGATTTTTTTTAAAGCGTTGTCAATTGATATGTGTGTGTGTGTGTGTGTTATATTTTTTAATTATACAATTGATTATTAATATATATACCTGTATATTAATATTAATATATTAATATATTAGTTATTAATTGCATAAAGATATTAAATAACAAATTTTATTTTCTATAAGAATTTATTATTAATTTATATCTATTTAATATATATTTCTAAACTTCTTCAATTATTGCTCATATTTACAGCTTTTACAAGAAATTGTATTTATAAAGGAAGTTAACGAAGTCTTAATAGTACTTTTTCTTATATTTGGTCACATTATTTATATATTTGTTGGTAACTATCTTGGCCAAATTTTAATAGATCATAGTACAGATATTTTTCAAAACTTGTAAGTACACATAATATTTTTAAGTATGTTTCAGAATTCTAAAAGTTTATAAAAATGTTAAAAATAATATCTTTATAAACACCAGTTCCTATTTAATTCTTGTTGTATATTATAACGATATATAATTAAGATACACTTTGAACTGTTAAACTAATTTTACTATTGAGTTTTATAATCAAGCGTTACTTTAATATTTTATTGCTTTTTTAAATGTCTTAATATATGTAGTTTATTTTTTTAATATATTAAATACTTAGTAAAATCCTTACAGGTAAATAAAATCATTACTCTTAAGTAAGTAATAAAACTCTTACAATTTTTATGCATCATCTAAATATGGATAGCAATCAAATATTAAAATTATAACAAAATCGCATATTAATATAATAGTATAGTAACAATGTTAATTAATTACCTTGATATAGTATCTGTATTAATTATTGTATTGTAAAAATATTAACATCTATATTGGAATCTCAATAAACAAACAATCAAATATATTACAAAACAGGCAAGTGAGAGTAAATTTAAAATCTACGCGGTTGTCAATGCGTTAAAATATAAATATATTAAAAAATCTCTTTCAAAAGATTACAAAATTACAAAATTACAAAATTCATACGTTTCGACTGAATTCCAGTCATCTTCAGTGAAATTAAATTACAAAAAATATATACATATCCCAAACCAACTCTATGTTAATACGCAAAAAAGCGAGTCAAGCCAACGTAAATCCACGCAATCCATGATACACACACGTCAGATTAAATGACTCCATCATTCCGATCAAATGGCATCCTTCATAGTTAACCCTTCCAATGACGGTTGGAAGTATAACAGCACTTGTCAAAATCCAACGTTTGACAAATATTATCAGATGCAATTCAACCGAAAGGAAAGAGCAAGAACAACCATGATACGCACAAATCAATATTCCAAAAATCAGAATCAAAAATTAAAAAATTAAAATATTGTCAAGATATAAAATTATGTGTCTAATCAATATAGAGGATTAGCTATGTAACATTGACACCGCGTAGATTTTAAATTTACTTTCACTTGCCTGTTTTGTAATATATTTGATTATTGTATTGTATTTATATTTTTTATGATAAATTTGACATAATAATTATGAATATATATGTAAAAACACTTCAATTCCATATCATACTAATGATATGGTATTGACTATAATGTTATAAATATAAATGATGAAAACTAAAATCCAGAAAAACTTTTAGATATATCACACGATGGCAAGGCGCGCCTTTACAAGCACAAAAATTATTGCCAATTATAATGCAAAGAAGTTTGAGAAGTTGCAAAATGACTGTGGGCGGAATGTTTGTCCCATCATTGGAAGGCTTTGCAACGGTAAATGCAATGCTAGTACGATATTAATTTTAATATCTTATTATTTCCAAAGCTTTAACTTATAATATTTATTCTTTGTATTTACAATTATTTTGCAAAAATTACATTCATAGTTGTCTGCTTTTTTGTGAGTATTATATATGTATATAAATTATTTTTTAATGTTTCATATATAGTTAAACAAACTGAAAAAAGTTATTTAATTTTTCTTTACAACGCATAATTATTTTGAATTTCAGCTTATGAGCACGACTCTGTCGTACTTTACAGTACTCTGGTCTGTACACAAATAATATTATTTAAAAAAATTATAACATAAGTCGTAGTTAATTTTAAATAAAGAGTTAAAACGTTAATATAATAAAATACTAACAAACATTTTTATTTTAATTTGTTAAATTTTGTAAAAAATGTAAAATTTTTTGTTAAAATATACAATAAATATTAATTAATAAGTTTTTCCACACAAACACAAAATATTTTAATTGAAATACCACAATGCATCTTTTGTTCTCTGATGCGTGTTAGAAGTTTTATGAAGTCACTTTTACGAAGTGATGTTGCATTGTCGGTTGCGCTTGCGCTTACTAAGAGAGGAGAAACATATAAAATATTAATGTGCTACACTTAAAATTATGATAATTTATTTCCTACTCACCATTATTCTTAATAGGCACATTTGTAAGAAGATATAGTTCTTTTCTAAACGAATAATGCATTTCTTATTCTTCCTGTTATTATCTTATCTCTATTTGGATAAATATAAACGATTTAGGAATTTCAAATTTTAAATAAATATTGCCATTTTGATTATACATATAGCAGACGCGCATTACAGAGAAGTCTAGAAAACGAAAAAGTAATTGTGAACATTAGTGTAAAAAAGAAAAAAGTTTCTATAGATAGTATTAAACAGTACCTATAAGTACAGTATTGTCTATATGGCAGTAACGTGTAAACTGTGTATCGTCTGAAATGAAGTTTCCTGAAGAACAATATTTTAGATTGAATCGTATTTTGTTATCGACAATTGGTCTTTGGCCACATGATGATTCCAAAGCCAGACATATCCGTTTCATACTATCTTCATTAATAATGGTATCGTTTATAAGCAGTCAGGTATTTATATAATTATTTCATATACGTTTTTAATATACGATTTTATCAATTCTGTCAATTGTTTGTGGAAATTATCACCAAATCATGGAATAAAGGATTCATAGTAAAAAATTTTTTTTTACTTGTGTACTACAATCAACGCTATACTCTCATTCACCTGGTCTAATTACCATTTATGTTTTTAATCCGTGTTGTATTTTATCAATTTTTTTATATGATTTTATGGTATAGATATTCTTATGTGATATTTTAAATTATGAAAATGTATTATGAAATCAACTAATTTTTTATTAGTTTGTCGAATATCTTAGTATAATATTGTACTTTCTTATACTTTATATAGTCAATTATTATAATCATCACATACCGTAATTTTTTCAGCCTACAAAATTATTTGTTTCGGAATACAGTTTTGATCTTTTTCTAAATATATTTTGTTATGATATCATTTGTTTAATATGTACTATAAAGTATATCACATTTTATGCCGTTTTAGAAAATGTAAGTTTAAGAGCAATTTAATAAGAAATAAAATATTATATAATAATAATACTTATTATATTTACTAGTAGGTTAAAGAATTGCGAGATCGTGTTCGGAATAATTGGAGAGTTTTAACAGATAATCAAGAAATTGAGATAATATGTAAACAAGAAAGCATCGGAAAATTATCTACAATATTTATAATAAGTAAATATCAGTAAACAAATACATTCTTACTATTACAATAATACTAATTATTTATCAAGTTATTAAAAATAATTACTTTATAAATAATTGATTGTATCATATTGCTTTAATAAAACGAGAAATACATACATATATACTCGTGCGTGTGCGTGTATGCACACAAACACACACACACATACACAAGGTATGTCATTATGAAACCGACAAGCTTTGCCAGTATTGCAGTGTACTTAAATGGTTATTCTAAACAAGAGTTTACACTATGGGTCAAATCAGTTTTGTTTGCACAATGTGTGCAATTTTGCATAAAATATAATCCAAACTGTTGCATAAAATATAATAAAAACTCCGATTTTCCGTAAAAATCATTTAATTTATTGATATAAAATTATATTGAATTACAATCATTATATTGGCACTCAATAGAAACCCGTTAACGCATTATTCTAATTGTTCATTACGATACTGTAAAGGTGTTGTGATCCATTATTACTATGATTACATCCGATGAACATTATCTAGTAATATCATAACGAATTATTATCTGCAATTTTTATTAACTAACTGTTCTGTCATATATGTTTATTCTCATGTTTTTTTTTTTAATTCGGACATCCTACGTGTTTATGCAGTACCTTTGATGCATTGGTATTTCAGTGTTGGGAACGAAATCGAATCAACCATTGATATACGCATAAACTCTTACTTAAATTGACCATTTAAATACGCTAGCAAAGCTTATAGGTTTTGTGACGAAACACTATTAAATTGAAAATTACATTTTTTATTAAATTTTAATTAAGTTTAAAAACTGATACAATAGATAGAATTTTAGAATTTACTTATAAGGAACTAATGTTATGTAATTAAATAATATAATTATTCCAGTTTTGGTTTACACCGTAATTTTTTTCTATATTTGTATGCAATATACCTCCATTTTATTTGATATTGTAATGCCTTTAAATGAATCTCGGCCACGCAAACTACTATTTCCAATGGAATATTTTATTGATCAGCAGAAATACTTTTATGCCATAACAATACACGTAGCTATGGGAATGCTTTTTTTAACAACTAGTGTTGTAGCTACAGAAACGTTTTCACTCGTAAGCGCATTACACGCTTTCGGGTTATTTAAAATCGCTAAGTTAGTTTGGCACATATACCCATTTTATTCTTAAAAATAACCCTTTTTTCATTTTGGTTTGTATCGTAATTTACTCATATTTATGTTAAATTTTTGAGAATTGTATTTTTTAATTAATATTCTCTTCTCTTTTTATTAAATTAAGTAACATTTTTTATGATTATGATTAAGATTCCACAACTTTCGAATATTATTAAAAATTACATGTAATTTTAATACATTAAATTCATATTATTGTGCTTGTACTATGTTATATACATTAATATAATAATTGAATCTTTCTAGTTATCGTATGAAAAATATATTAAGTGAAATTAATTCACAGAAAAAGATGTGTATAACTGAAAAATATGCCATATCTCGTAACAGAATAATCGCTGCAGTGGACTTCCATAGGAGAGCAATCGAGTTAGTATTTTAACTTTACAAGTTAATAAATTATTAAATTATTACAAGTTTAGAAGTGACTGCTTACGTCAAAATTGTAGAGACATATATTGATTAATATAATATTTAATTCACATTATTCATCTGAATATAATTTCCCATACATGGAAGAATAAATTTAATTTAAAATAATAAAGTTTGAAATGATTTTTTTTTTAATTATGTTTTTTAATTGATCTTGATAGGATAATAATGTAAAATATTTT